AGATCGTCAGCGATAACGGCGTTGATTTGTGAGCCGAGAGTTCCAGGCAATGTTGAACGAATTCGGCCTCAGACACCAACGCACCCCGAACTATCAACCAATGGCCAACGGACTGGGCGAGCGATTCAACCGAACACTCGGAGGGTTCCTGGAAACAGCAAAATGAGAGGAGGGGGGATCAAAGAGAGAATCCGCGAGATTATCGGAGCATACAATTCCACACCCAAGGGAACGACAGGCCAATCGCCAGCTGAACTACTCCACGGAAGAAGAATGAGAACACGGTTGGACGTCGTGGACCGCGAAAACATCAGAAAGCCAGAGAATAATGAAGTGCGACAACGGGTGGAAGCAAAGCAGCGAAAACAAAAGGAATACGCGGACACCCGAAGAGCAGCTGTCGATGTCCACTTCCGGAAAGGCGAATGGGTCAGATTCAGGAAGCCAATTGTGGAAAAAGGGCAGCGAAAATTCAGCGAACCGGTGCGAATTCATGAGAAAATCGAAAGAAACACCTATCGACTGTCGGATGGCCGGAAGTGGCACCAAAGTCGGCTGGTGCGGAGCGCAACGGAAAGCATCCCCAACTTAATACTAACGGGAGAGAGCAGCAAGTACCGCAAACGTCGGGCGCGCGGGGATGTGGGGTTGAGACGATTCCACAGACAGCGAACTGGTTGTCGCTGAACCGAATAATCCGGATAACGAAGAATTGGATAATAATATGGCTATCGAAACATGGACGGTGGAAAATGATCCAAAGCTCATACCACAGGAAAACTACGAACCGAGCGACGAAGAAGTCGCAATGATGGAAATCTCCGGAATACTGCCCGTCGAGGAACATGAACCACCGGCGCGGCGGTGAGGGGCGGAGGAGAAGAGGAAAAGCCAGTAGAGCAGAAAATCCGGCTGGCGAAAAACAAACAAAACAGAGCCGGAAGCGGACACTGGATGCAACGCCCCAAGTAACTCGAAGGACCCTTCCCCCCAGGGAACGAAAAAAGCCTGGGTATCTCGAGGAACACGCCCTAGAGTGGGAAGTTAAAGTACTATAAAAATTGTCAGCTCTTGCAGAAATGCAGGGAGGGCAGATGTAGTGTCCAGATGTAGCTAGCAGCGGGTAGTCAGATGTGGAGATCTGGGTGCACATCCGAACGAGAGAGCCGATGTAGGCGAGGAGGACCTCTGAGAGTAAGAGGGGGGTTAATCCGAGGGCAGCTATATGAGCAATGGAATGAAGGGAATTTGGGCAGTCCCGTGAACTCGAGTCTCCATTCCGCTAGAACTCTGTAGAGCTCTTCACCGCTTTCAGGCCTTTATAGAGCTTACGAATCTCCATTTTCAGAATTGGCTGGTCGTCCCGCTTACGGTTGAGCAGCTGCATCGCCGCGATATGAATGATAACTCCGCTCACATTTACCAACTCATTGGTTGGCATCGTGACGACAGTCCCTAAATTAAGGTGAACAGGGTTCTTCTTCACAATCTGGAGCGTCACATCGGCGCGGCAATGGAGCTTCGTCATTTTATTGTGGAGATGCTGGAGTTCCATAAGACCATTCCTTATAATTCCGAATAAAAGGGCGTGATAAGACCCCGGGAAAATGAGATGTTCCAAAGTAGAAGGACGAAGCGTCTAGTGCCTGAATAGCTAAGTGAAGAGTCGTCGTCATCACACTTATTGATGACAACTTCGAGTATGCTTGCCGCGCAATTGAATCTGGCGTTGACATGGCCAACATCGAAATTTTCCAATTTGAATACGGAGTGTTGAAGGTAAAGGCTCGTAGCTCTGATCAGGAGTAGAAGAGCAGCCCGTTCAGGGATACACAGAGATACAGTCTCACGAGAGGGAGATACCTCAGTGACTTTTATTTGAAATCTCAGGTCTTTTATACCTAGGCAGGAGTCTAAGCTCCTCCTTACATGTCCTGATCCGCACATACATAAACATAGGACAAGGCTACCTTGGTATATCATAAGCAGCGTCCCAGAATGCTATCGGGTGTACCTAGCATGCGGGGTGCTCAGCCAATTTCGTACTACATAATGGTCTCCTCTTGGCAACCTCTCCCGAGCCCTTGCTCCCCTCACTGAAACTATATTGGGAGCGCCTTAAAATATGAATCGGTGATTTGGAATTGAGACGGAGGGAGTGAATTTGTTGACCGGAAGGACTCCGTGAGAGTTTCCCGAGGAACCGAGACGTTCGCGCACCTCTCACCATGGTGAGTCTTGCCTGTCCCAGATTTCATCTCCTTCCAAGGCCCTCCCGGAGGCCTCTCACAATTGCTTACTCAAGAAGAGACTCATGCGATAGGATCGAAGTCGCTAAAAACCCAGAGAACTCATCTCGTCGCGCACCGGGATAATACGATGGAGGAGGCTTCCTCCTTCTTGGACCTTGGTGTTTGGCTCCGCGTCCGGGAAAGCTGGAATCCGTCAAAAGCGGTGGAGCCCTGAGAGGGAACGCTGGGAGCTAGGATCGGCTGCCGTGACACCGTGCTCCAATAACCGGCTTCAGCCGCGGCGAAATACGCTTGCCGACTCTTAGGGATGTCCGTCATCGCCCGAGGGAGTACCCTGCATGGTTCTCGGTGAAAAATGTGTTCGCTAATGATTCGGTAGGGGATAGATACGGGGAAGCAGATGATAATGAGCCCCGTTCTTCGCAAAGCGTCGGAGCGTCCGCCGCACCGCAGAGAATTGCTCGGTTGTGCTTGCAGGAGCCTCCTCCCGATGCTTCACACAAAGTCGCGCCCTCGAGGCCAGCATTCATTTTAATTTGTCCTCTCCGGACGCCCTCTTCCTGAGACTCCAACTGAACGAGCTGGTGACCACCTTTCCACGACTCCTTTTCCCCCAGACTCAGCTCTTACAAAATTAGGTAGCTTCTCGCTGAAATTGACCAAGATGAGCAACGCCGAGAGTAGCTTTTCACCTGTCCGGTTTCGAGCGGACTCTGCAAGGCTGTGACTCACTCCCTCGCTCTCTTCGAGGGAACAAGGTACTGCTCGAGGATCGCTGAAGTAAACCGAATCCTGAATCGCCTACGATTCCTCCCCTGAACGTCACATCGCAGCATTTAATTCACTTCATGAGTTTTAGTCATGGCTCATATCGATAGATGGAAGTTTTTTTTCTGCTTGAGGGAAACCTGCATCAAACTTTAATATTCGATCATGATTCTCCAGATCGACGCGCGACGTGATAATCTATACTGACGAGTGATGCAACTATTCTCACTCCGTAGCTGTACAATTGAAGGAGAAGGGTTGTCAGGGAGTATGCGAAAACCGCGAAGTTCGACGGTCCGATCGACCAGGTAGCCCGAAGCGTCGTTTCTCAATATACAAGAGCGCGATAATCGAGTCGTCTTCACGCAGGAGCACTTTGAGAACACCAAAAATACAGAGATTATTGTCCAAGGGACGACATCGTTTGCATTTCATACACTGTAATGTTTTTTCAAGTAAAGCATTTATTCACCATTTTCTGGTGTTTTGAGAATGTTTGATTAAGATCTATCTTGTGTCCGAGTCTTTTCGGGTCTCACACTTTCCTTGTCAAATAGTTGATCACAAGTGCATATATACAAATGGTACTGCGAGCATCTTTCGTGACAAAAAGTCCATATACAAGTTTCATCCGGCTCGTGTCTGATCTTTTTGTTGCATATGATGTGATGGAAGCCGTGTGCTGCTCCTCTGGTGATGCGGTGTCTCTTTTTGAAGTTCGGTACTTTCCAACACTCGATGTCATTTCTGGACAGGAGTGGGATGCTGGGTCGATAGCTTCTCTCTCCCGCCTGCAGCTTTCGACATTTTCCTGGTATGCTGTGGTAAGCGGGAGATCAAATTTCGCTCTCAGGTTCTCGGTCATTTTGTCTGTTCTTGGTTGATCGGTGTAGCCGCCGACCCTTTCGACGTACGCTGCTTTGAGTCTGTCGAACGGTTCCAGCTGTGATCGGGTGAGACTTTCCCAGATAAGCTGTATTCCGTATGATGCGATCGGTGATATTTTCAGTTCAAAGAGAGCGAGGGCGGTCTGAAGCGACAGCTCATTCGTACAAGGGATTGAGCTTGATGCTATCTTCGCCTTCTTCAGCCTCTGCTCGACGTCTTTAGCGAAGTTCTTCCCGTCTCTTGGTAGCTCGATTCCGAGCTAGCAGAAACTCCTCACTTTCTCTATGCGGTCGTTCCCAATCTTGAATACGTCTCACTCGGCCTTGGGGCTTCCCCTTCCAAATTTTACGAGTTTCGTCTTTGATACATTTATGACCAGTCCATTTGCTTCCGAATAGTCGCTCAGAGTCTTCATTGCTTTCTGAAGTTGGATTCTCGAGCGTGAGAGTAGGACAGCGTCGTCTGCGAAAAAGGTGCAGGAGACCAGGTCATGTCTCTCGGCGATCGTTTTGGGTAGATCGTTCAGAAGAACCACAAATCCCAGGGGCGAGAAGTTGTCCCCTCGAGCGAGGCCGGTCGTTTGGTGGAAGGCTGGTTGCTTCCCGACTCCATCGTCAATGGAGACCGTCCCTCCTTGAAGCATTGCCAGAATCAGTCGAAGCGTTTTGGTCGGGACACCAGCCCTCGCCATCTTTTCAAGGATGATTGTTCTTGATGCGAGATCGAAGGCTACTCTATAATCGACGAACACTATAACGAGCACAACACACTATAATGTAAAAGACATAGATTGGACCAAAATTACGCCGGCGGTACATCGGTTTTGTTATAATTATTCATATAGTCTTTATTTACATTTCCTCTCCAGGGTCGTCTCCGCGTTTATCAACGCCGGTCCATTGAAAAGCAGACTTCACCATATTTCCAACCGTTCCCCCACCCCGCGAGTGAGTGTATGTACAAATAATTTTGTCTAGAGCTGCTTTGAGCCTCTTCAGGATTCGAGTTATTGAAGGCTGGAAGGTATATTAGAATGAACATGAGGTATCCGACGAACTAAGACTAGTTGCGCTAACCATCAGCCTCAATTATTCAATAAAGACTCTTCTCGTCGTCTACCCGTTCATCGAGGCTGTTGTTCAGCGCTGCTTTTTAAGCGGCCCGCTCCTGGAGTTTCTATTCGCGCTTCTGACGGTATGACTGTATGTAGAAGCGGAAGAATAGGAGGAAGAAGACGAAGCACTGGAACAACATGAATGCTGGCAATGCGGAGTATCTGGAAGAGGGATGGAGCGTTCATGAATTTTTCTCCTTCTGAATCTGATGATGCGGGGGGGGGTCTCAATTATCCCGATATTAGCGAGGGGAGAATATCCCGAACAATTCAACGTGAAGAACCGTGAGCCAGAGTCCGGTGGAGATTCGGGATTTCGAATCGAGAGCGAGGAATTCCTTGCTCTTTCTTCGAGCGAATGAAAGCGAAATCGTCCGCAATTCTCATGAAGGGATGGTTCGTAAATGATTTCCGCTCAGAGTCATAGCTTCGTGACGAAGCGGTACTGGTTCACCCTTGGAGCTAGCTCGTTGCAGATGCAAGCCAAATCTCCCGATGCGGATTGCTTGACCGATGAGGAAGGTTTTCTGCATCGCTAATGCCCGAAGGGGCCCGGTCCGGAACTTCTCCTTCGGAGTAAATCAGCACTGTTTGTGCTCGCTGCGGCCTTCGACATCACGATGAATATTTTTCCCCCGACTAGGCTAGCTCCGCTGGAACTACCAATAACCTGTTCTTACGAACAGGCTCAGGGCTCATTCTTTTGAGAGATGAATCCGATCTCTTTGGAAAGGAAAGACTTTCTTCCGTCGGTCGCATTCGGACCCAGTCGCGCAATCATTCTCCACGAGGTTCTTCATCGAGATCAAATTCTGATGCGCTCATCGGAGCGGGCGCATACGCGACCGAAGCAGCTCAATCATAAGCGGGACGCGCAGGAGCGGTCCCGAGTTCACCGTCCCTGACTGACTGATGCGGTCAGGACCGCTCCGACGAGTTTCCTTGCACCCGTCTTCTCGGCGGCAGAGCTGCGAGAGAATGATCTCAGAGTATCGCGGTATAATTGACGCGGATCTAATGAGACGGCGATCGACCTGCCCGTCGACTGCTCCCGATATTGGTGCAGTGAATCCAGGCAGGGATTCAGCCGCGTTGGTTCTGTTTCTGTACCACTGAGACTTTCGCAGGGTCTGCTAATCCTCGCTCGAATTCATTGGGTGCGCGGGTCCTATCAAGAGGATTCCTCGACTCAGGCTGGAATGTGAATCGGAAATCTTACCTGTTATTGAGCCAGAACACGAGCATGATGTTACGTGCGATCATGACAGCGAATTGAACGAGCTGCAAAATGGTGATGTATTTCTTCCACCAGAGGTATTTCTGGATAGAAGGGCCGCAGGCGGACAGGAAGTAGTAGCCGTACATCACAACATGGATCAAGGCATTGAAAGTGAGCTCAAAGCACGCGAGGGCGAAACCCCCATAGGTGATGTAGAAGTAAACCGAAAACGTGACCGAGACGTGATGGAAAACGTGTAGAGTGGAAACCTGCGGCAAAATCCATTATTCATTAGAGGCATACCTCGTTCGGTTTGGAAGAGCGAGGGAAAATCTCGGAGTACGTATCTTACCTGTCTGAAACGTTTCCTCAGGACGAAAATTACAGTTTCAAGGCACTCCGTCAAGCGCAGGACGAGGTAATACCAGGACACGTTCAGCAGCAGGAGTGTCGTGGGGTGATCTCCGCGGTCCGGCGTAGTGAACCACATGGCATAGTGACCTGAAGGGGATCAACACTCGTCACGAGGAGGCTGTCGATGGTCGTATAGCAATATAACGGATAATAAATTATGATAAGCCTCGAATGCAGTCTTGAGGAAAGAAAAAACATCATCTCGTTCCCGCCATCGGTGATGGACTGCTTAAGTTGGAGATGTCAGTGAACAGAGAATGAGGCTTCCATTCGGAGACCGTGACGGCATTCGAAATTTCCGAGCTTTTGATGGATTGGTGAAAGCCATTCGTAGCTGATGTTCCTTACTGCATGGAGGAGCGAATTACTTCATTCCAGAACTCCACAGAGAATCTCTCCACGTGCGCCAGCGCGAGCTCGTTTGCGGATGCGCCGAAGCGGGTGAAAAAATAACCCCGTGACCGAGCCACTCAGATAAGTCAAACGGCTCGAATTCGGAATTATACGACGTGTTTTTTTTCGAGAGCCCCGCACCTCGTGGTCCATCCCTGGAACTTGACTCCCCGCAGTCAGTCGCTGCATAGAGGGGAACTTCTGCCAAAACGAGGTCCGCAACGTGAAATCTGCCCTTCGAGTTCTCGATTCACGCGGACATGAGGGGGCGAAGGCATTCTTGGAAGGATTGACCGTTCCCGGTAGAGCCTGGGAATTCCGACTCAATCGGAGCTTATTGGCCTCTTTGCGGGGAGTCGCGAAGCGAGGCTGACGTATGAGCGGATCAGATGGAAGCTGAAAGTCATGGCGTTTAGTGTTGAGAATCTCACCTGTCCAGAATGCGTGGTAAATGACGTAGGAGGACATCGATAAGTTCGCGATAACCATAGCCGCGTTGTACAATAGAATCACTGGACGGAGCTCGTAAGCTTTGGCGTTCCTCATTATACCCGGGCTGAGAACCTAGCACCAAAGGAATGTCCCCATTGTTATTTAAATCTCCGGATTCTGAGCACAAGTATTATTACTCTTCTCACTTATGTCCCAGTGAAATTCCGGAATGGAAGGGTTCCTGACCTTCACGATGTAAACATAGGCGGTGAGGATCGACACAATCGGGG